CACACACACATATCTATCTATATGTGCAAGAATCATGATAAAGAATTAATATGAATATATATGCTATAAACATCCAATCAGATTCACACATAAGATGATGATTCCCCTGTTTTAGAGTCTCCCCGGAATTCACACACGCAAACGGCTTTCGGAAAAGAAATCAAAATGCAAAGAGCCACATGAAATTGAGGCTAATAGCAAAATATAGAAAGGTATAAATAGGTTTATGTCAGAAATTAAAGCTCGCGCCTCGGACACATAGGAGCTCTCACTTCTTATTATTCTCTTATACCAACATCGATCGCTTGTTGATATTTTTATTTATTTAATTAATGTGCATGAAACTTGCCCATTATATACCAAACTAGTCTCAGCTTAATTTACCTTTTTAAGTAACAATTAGGTATCAAAGATTTTGTTATCAAAAGAGGGATATTCATTAACTGAGTGTGGGTGGATTCAGTGCTTGCCACTAGTAAGCTATCTGAAAAGAACAATTTCAATTTTAATAATAATGTGCGCGCGCGCACATATGTAAAAGCTCAAGTGGCATCTGTTACGTGTCTGTTTATATTTTATATACTACCTCTGGTCTTTAATACAAGATCCTGTTTGACTTTTATTTTGGTCCTAAATATAAGATCTCAATCCACTTTGTCTCTCATATTTATACTTTTTTTTTCTAAAGTAGCTCTTCTAATAATAAGAGTTCTAGTCAATACACTTGATTAGTAAGAATATTTTAAGAAAGATAACACATATTTATGACAAATAACTAACTCAACTTACTTCCTTAATCTCCTCAAATTAGTCAACCGGCTCTTATAATTAGGACCGGAGGTAGTGTGTGTGTGTGTGTAAACATGAGCCCTTTCTAACTATACAGGATTCGGGTTCATGGTTTATTAGCAGCAGTTAAAACAAATATCTCCTACTCACATAACTGATGTGAAATCATGTAGTTAAATTAGTGTTTTTGCATTAGTGAACGGAGCTAAATAATTAATTTATAGACATTAAAGAATTAGTTAAATTAGTTATTTGTAGTATATGTGTATTGGTGTCTTTGTACCTTCTTTAATTTAAACTTTATATGTAATCAATAAGGATGGTTTGGAAATAAAATTATAAATTTAAAAGATAAAATGAATTGAGGTTTTGTATTTAATTAAAATCAAATCATCAAAATAAATATCCCAATCAACTCTTATATTAAACTTGTTATAAAGTGTATAAATATCTGTAGATTTTTAGTGGAAATGGAAATGTTAAGTCAGTGAGATTGGACCAATTGAAACCTTAATTAGGACTGCACTAAATCTGTTATTACCAGTCATATATACCCTTCAAATTAAACCTTCCTTCCATATATAGCTCTCTCGCTTTTATCCCATTAATATATTTATATTTGTGGAAGCCCAGCTAGCATTAAATTAAAGATCATGTACACAACAAATCGTTGCTTAAGAAAATGCCACTAAATAACTTATCTTTTAGCCAACTTAATCTCTTCTCACATATGCTAATATGATTGGTTAATCAGTTCAAGTGGCTTATCTCGAACCACACTTGACTGCCTGCTTTTCTCCCATTATATATATTATATTATACTTACACCTCTCTGGACATATATGTAATTTGCCTTTTCAAATGAAAAAGAATCTAGCCCATCCATGGCCAAGCTGTTCAAATATGTAATTATTGTTAGTTAACTATATATACACACTTATTACTACTTAATTATCTTGGCCTAGCTAATTAATCCAATCATGGATGCCGTTCTGCACTAAATTAAAGGAATAACATATATATACCCAACTTTCAACTTGAAGGAATGTGAGTGGTTGGTTATATCCTTATATCCGTCCCCTCCCAAACGTACGTTTATTAAAATCTTCTTCATCACCTTGCACATTAAACAACACATCGACGGATTTCTGTCCAAGCCGGGAAAAAATGACTCATCTTGATCGGAAGAGTAGGCTGCATAAAGCAGATTTATCTAATCATAGTTGCTTTGGGCATCAAACGAGAGGCCTTTTTCTCTTATGAACTTACCTCCAGTCATAAATATAAGATATAATTTATAGTATAATTTGTATTATAAACTAAATCTTATATTTAGGATCAGATATTTAGGAAAACTCAAGGTTTTATCCACACGGGTTTTCTTAATAGTTAGATGTGGTGAGCTTCATAAGGGTTTTAATTTAAAGAATCTCTCTCATCATTCAAACAAAAAGAGGAAAAAATTTACAAAAAAAATTGATACTACTAAATCTTAATTTCTACAAAAATATCTTGTTATTTGTAAGTTTAATATTATAAAAAACTTATTAAAGTGTTGTTACCAAAACTGATTTAAGATTTAATAATTTTAAAAAAAAATTTGTGGGATTCTTAAAAAAGAGCTTTTTATTCGAATCCTTAATTAATTGTACCAACTTATCTTTGTAGATTTTCACTAGTTTTGATTTAAAATATATAACATTACATGCGGCTCTTAGTTATACTTTATAATTTTAATTCCTTTATCTTTCTACACGCTATAAACAATAAATTAATGCACTTGATGAACTTCATCAAAAGCCAGCTTAATTAAAAAGGCAATAAAGATTTCTGTATCCAACTAATTGGATCTTCTAGAGACCCAACTAAGATCTCCATGAGCATCAATGTGTCTTCGAAGATTGCAGATGATCAGAGAGCACTTCTCATATATGCTTCAATCTCTTCTAAATAATTCCGGTCAAAAAAAAAATCTCTTCTAAATAATAATAATAATATTATTCCACCAAGCAATGCATGTGTTGGGGGGACAGCACACATGCATAATTTGGGAGATCCTTTAAAATCATAAAAATATATGTGTATAATACATTTCGCAAAGGAGTTTAAAAAAAATATAATAAAAAAGATGATTCTATACATAACTATATTTTTTTTTATTATGATATATTAATACGTTGCACTGAATATAAGAAAACTACTTGATTTATAAATCATGAACAATATCTTTCGTTTTAAACTCTGTAAAGTACTACCTCCAATCCCTTTTTTTTAATGGAATCCTTAATATAAGAATTAGTTAGGTATTCAATTTTGTCATAAATATAAGACCGCAATCTATTTTATCTTCAATATTTATCCACTATGCTCTCAAATAATCCCTAATTACACATTTTAAGGAGTTTTTATTAAAAGAGTATTTCAATGCACATGATTGCTAGGAATATTTTAAGAAAGATAACATCTATTTATTATATAAATAACTAAATTAACTAATTTTTTATAATATCCATAAATTAGTTATCTAGTTCTTATTTATGAACCGAGATAGTATTAGAAGTTTAATTAAAACCATAGTATTTAATACACACTATTTCAACTTTCAAGATTCCATTTGACATCATTTGAAAGCAAGAAAGTGTGGTTTGCCAAAAGAGTGACAATTTTCATGTATTCCTAGTCATTACTATTACTAAATAGAATTGTACATCAATGCCATATCATCTTCAATAAAAGTCTTGACAATAGTCGACTGGAAGTCTAAAGACCAATTCTTTAACGGAAAGAATTACAAAAACCTTCATGTATAATTTTAAAAACTAAAGATCATATGTTTCTCTTATTGTTCAGGGAGAATGAAAATGAGATTCGGAAGAAAAAAATAATTACTAGTAAATCCTAATAACAAGTGAGCAGTTATTATTTACTACCTTAAAATTTGTCATTGCAGGCTGTTCTATTATTATTTGGACTTTTTAGTTATTATGTTCCTTGCTTAGAACTTCATGACAATTCTCCCTCCCCCCAAGTTTATAAGGCTTACACTCAAAATTGTATTCAAAAGATATCAAATCCATCCCCACTTAACCAAACTCTTATTTGTAGGCTTTTGTACTTTTGTTCTATCTGTCAATCACTTCCACCACCCACACACACCCCCCCACACACACACAGATATATATATATATATATATATATATTCTATATTGGATATAAAGCTGTTGTTTAATTTGAATGGGTTCTGGAAGAAACCCTTATCTCTATGCCCATGCCATGAAAATGAATCTGGAGAATGAAAAGGCCAAAGAAAGTGAAAGCATCCATCCCTTATTTAATGCTTGTTACATATGAACCCCACACATACATGCTTTGCTCACCTACCAACCCACATGCTCCTCATCAATAATTTTTTGTTTGTCCCCACGATTCATTTGTTTAACTCATTTCTGGTTTTTTTTTTTTTCAAATTTAATTGGCTGTTGATCTTTTCTTCTTGGAAAAAAAATAGGATTGCATAATTTTGTGGACACTTTGATTACCTTAGCTCAGTATATTTCTTTCCTCTAATCATAGGTATCCTTCACTAATCATATTTGAAGTACTATCAGCTCTACATGTGGCCCCTATATTCACAGATGTATTTGCATATCTCCTACCAACAAGATTCTCATGTTGGTAATGAGATTCAAATTCATAATCTTATAGGTTATGAGTTAATTCTCTACAATTAGACCAACTCTTCTTGAGGGTAATAAATTTCATATGTAAGGCATGATATATCATGTCAGTGGCCTGCAAAACCAAAAGTTACTCACTGGATGGACAGCTAAGTTGGGTTGGCCCAAGTTAAAAGGCCTCTCGAAGTCCACAACGACCAACACGGACCACTCGAATAGTGATCTCTTTCCCACTTCATTTTCTATTTATCAGCTTCTAAAAAATTATATACTTCGTAGCAATTCAAATACACTTCTGATCGAAGCTATAAAACTTTCACAATCAATGATCGAAGTAAACTCATTGTAGCTATTATCATTAAAAAGAAAAATCACTACTAATACATAACTAAGCCGATTGTATACTACCCGTCTTTTTGGTGGGATCAGATTGCAATTTTCTTACATGCTATCTCTTCTAATCCAAAACAAAACAAAAAACAAAATCCTCGTAACACTGACAAACGAGGTTAATATAATATATCAATAGTTTGATTAATAATGGAATGGCTTGGACTTTTTGAGGTCAAGAAAAGCACCCGCGAATGATCCTACAACTGCCACAATGGACACAACCAGACAAGCCATGCTCAGAATCTGCATGCAAACCCACCGGCCACTCCATTTTGTTATCTTCTTCTGTTTTATATACATTTCCACCGGAAAATACACATTCAACGGCCAAAACCCTAGTGCCCCGATGATCCCCACTACGTCATTGAAGAACGGAAGCAGCATGGAGACCAGTGTGGTGACTACAACATAACTCGTCCTGGAAACCAACCTTAACAGACTCAGATTGTAAGGAGCGAAACCAGGTAGTAATGGGACTTTGAATTCTTTCTTCAAGATTTGGCTTCTGGGAAATCTCTGCAAGGCTTGTTTCTCCATGAAGGCGAAGATGGGCTGAGAGAACACTTGGTAAGCTCCGACGAGGTGGACGGCTATGCCGGCGTTGGCGGCGTCGAGAAGCCAAAAGGGGTCGGAGAAGGCCAAGTCGGTAAGCAGATTTCCAGGTGACTTGTCTCCGAGAGCCGCGTAGCCCGTGCAGCCACACAAAATGCAGAACGTTGTGGTCACTGCGATACTTATCCTTGTTGCTTTCTTCATTGTCTTTGCTTCTGATGGTGGAGACTTTATTGTGTCCTATATTATTATATGTTCATCAAATATTCATTAATTAGTATATTAGATCTTTAATTTTATGATTATTATTAATTAAAAGTTATTTTAAAGGGAAAGAGCAGGGTACCTGAATTTCAATGAGGACAATAGAGAATGAGTTAGCAAAGGCTATATCACCAAGAGCTTGGGAATTCCTCCATACTTTATCGGTTTGAGTTAGAGTAGTTCCAGTGCTTATTCCTCTGAGACTGCCCTTAATTTTACCAGTTTCTGCTCAATATGATTGCAACCCACGAAAATCTCAACCAAGTTAGGACAAATCAAATCTCTCACGACGGGCTATTTAATTTTTTGCATAAACAACATGATTAAAATTAAAATTAAAAAAAAAAAACAAAAAGCGTTAATTCTAATGAAAAGGGTTTTGGTGGCTAAAGTTGAGTTTGAGTCCATGTGAATGCATCATGCCTTTGAAAGAGTTTTCACTTATTAGGCTCAACAATACTTAAATCCGACCTGATTATCATCAGATAGTGATATCAAAAAAATTAAATTAAAAAAATCATTATTCAAGTGATTAATAATTAACCTGCAACATTAGCGATTCCAAGAGAGAGGCCAATGGTGGAGTAGGTAAAAGACATGATTGCAGCAACTATAGAGAGCCACCAAATCTGGTCAAAGTCTGGTATTTGAGACAGAAATACCTGAATTACCCCAAAACCTACCATATATGGATTGCTTGACATGTTGCATTCTTTTCCTCCCCCTTTTTCGTGCAAACAATTGGACCTTTTGATTGCCCTGTCATTTAAAAAAAAAAAAAAACCAACATCATTAATCTGTTGTATTTTGGTGAAGTTAACGTAGTACATATAGAAAATATCAAAATAAAGCAAAACTCACATTACGCTGATTGAAGCCGCGATTGTGTATCCTATTGCGACTCCCACAAGACTCACATGCTGGAATATCCCACACAATTTCACATTAACTCCACCTGCACTTATCAAATGCTGGTGATATATATATATATATATATATATATATTGAGATACAAGGGAGCAGGCTCGAACCCGCACGCACATTAATTGCACTTTGCTTAGATTAGATCACAAATTAGTTTAGGGTCTACAAAAGGGTCATATTGAAACATGTTTAGATGTGAACAACAATTGAATATAATTCTCACCAAAGAGAAACAAGAGTTATGTTTCTCATTTGTATCAGAGCTAGTTTCGGATCCTGGTGGGAACGGTGCGTTATGGGCCTACCATGCATATATTCATTATTGAAAATTGTAATGATTGAACTAAAGAGGAGGGATTAAGATTTAAGTACCTAGAATGGAAGCAACAGCGTCCATGTAGGTGTAGTTCCTCTTGCCAGAGACGGCGTCGTCGAGACGGTAACAATCACACAGCAAGGAAGAAGTATAGAGAATGACGACGGCGAACAGTAACATTACGGAAGGACCGGCGATCCAACCAAGCTGAGCTACGGCCCACGCTAAGGATAACACACCAGATCCTATCACCGCCGTTATTATGTGCGAACTCACCGTCCATACTGTTCCTGCGCTCTCATCATCATCGTTTCACCAATTTCAATATTCCATTAATATTTCATCATGATCTTCTTCAAAAACCTAGCTACGATCGACAAATTACAAAACTATATACACAATGTTCATATGTGTGGTCGCGCGTGTGAAAGACCAACGTACCAGTTCGTTTAAGACGGCCGTCGTCGTCGCAGAATTTAGAGGGAGGTTCCGCATCTATGGACTTCTCGACATCGTCCAAAGCCTGATGATGGCTAAGGTTGTTCGAAGCCATGTCGTGTCTTATATGAAACACTCCCTCACCAAAGAGTTATTTTGTGTGTGTGTGTGAGCAAGAAATTAAACCTCGAGTCGATCTCTTAAATGATCTTCATGAGTGGAGGGGAAACGTCTGTGTGGGTATTTATAGGGGTGGTGGCCTTTAAGAATCCGGGACTAGGTAAGAAACAGACATAATAAAGGAAAATGAATTTGAAACTCGTGTTCCTCAATACCTTTAATAGCTAGTGATCCAACTATTATTTTACACTACTCCCTTTGATACATTAGTTCCTTTTACAACCCGAAAATGGTCCCTGATGCATGTGATAGATGATGAACAATGTGACCTAAATTGGAAGATAGACAATCGTCACCTTTTAAACATATACTACCTCCGATTATTTTATACTATAAATCAAATCTTATACTACTGCCTGTTTTTAATATAGCAGCTTTTTAACTTTAATTTGGTTTTCAATATAAGACACTAATTTACTTTGTCTCTCATATTTATCTATTTTTTTAAAAGATAATCCTTATAATAATTGCATATATTAAAAATTTCATTAAATGATAGTATTAGCTGATATGTTTGATTAGGAAGGGTATTTTAGAGAAGATAATATTTATTTATTACAAATAATTAATTTAACTAATTTTTTTAATATATCTAAATTAATCAACTAGCTTTTACATTAAGGATGAAAGTTTGTATTTGACTAAATTTAAACATTATACATGAACCTATATATGTAGATAGAAGCCAAGTAGCTTATTAGTCAAGCAGCTCGTCAAAGGCAGCAAAGAACGTAGTCATACACACACACACATACTATATTAATATACAGGTAAAAGGGAGTTTAGGTGTGAAATACACAGAGAGAGAGAGAGAGAGAGAGAGTACGCGTGGCATACAAAAGTGTTTGATTGTACACAAATGATTTATTTTATAATTATTATATTTTAAAATATAGCATGTAGCAGAATTAAATTCTTGTCAAACTCTCAAATTTACATCTTAATTTTAATGTTTTTATGTTTTCAACTTATACAATAGTATCTATTTCCTCTTATTTATGCCTGCGGTAAGCTTAGTTGAATTTATAAGTTCATTTATCAAGCTTACTATTTTTACATTGTTAACTTACAAGATCAACTCGTTTTAAATTCTTGTTAAATTATTGAATTTATTAGTATTTAGTTACTTTTTTTTATTGAATATGATAAATGATCAACAATGATGAATTTAATTTTAATTATTTAAATTTAAAATATATTTAAATAAAATTGCTGTCATTTTTTATGTTTTAATTATTTAATTATATATTTTAATACCAATTTATTAATAAAAATAAACCCTCATGAGTTTATTATTCAAATTTACAATTCGAAATTTACAATTTGAGTTTATATTCTTATCATGAGTTTGTTTAAATCCACAAGTTTGACAATCTTGATTACAGAACATATATTCAAATTAATCGATCTAGAATAACCTTCAATTAGAAAGAAGACACTGCGTAGTGCTAAAATCTCCTCATGTATAGACTTAGTGTAAAAGAGGCTTATTATATTATATGTTGCTACGTGTACGGATGCATATCAATTTCATTTGACAGCTAATGACAAGAATATATTCAGATGATTGAGAAAAATAATAATAAATGTACATATGAATCTAGGAAAAATGCATAGATGTTCTTATCTTTTTTGTAAAAAAAAATTATTCTGTACGCTATATACAGTAATTGACTCATCCCAGGACGTTATTTCTTGATTCCAAATCGTATATGTCGGTGACATCGAATATATGAATCCTTTTGTTTATATATATATATATATACACACACATTTATATATTTATATTCTCCCCTGTCATCATCAAAGTTCATTAAGTGTGAAAATTAAGGAAGAGATGAACCACAGAAAGTGGGAAATATGTGGATGCTTTTGGGCTGGAGATTGAGCGGTGATCATCAGGTGCTCATAAGTTGCATGAAGAATTAAAAATCCAATCTGATCATTCACATTAAATCACAGGTAGTATTCATCAACGTATTACTAATTACTATCTCATGTCTTTAAGAGTTAGTTGACTAATTTGAGTAGATTAAGAAAATTAGTTAAGTTAATTATTTGTAGTAAATAGATGTTGTCTTTCCTAAAATATCGTTGCTAATCAAGTATATTTGATTAGAACTACCATTATTATGAAGACTACCTTAAAAAAATGAATAAATACGAAAGATAAAATAAATCAGGGTCTTGTATTTAGGACTAAAATAAAAGGCAAACAATATCATATTGTCCTTAATATAAAAGCTAGTTTGACTTTCAATTTAGTCTTAAATATAAGACTTCAATCCATTTTGTCTCTTATATCAGTCCATTTTTCCTAAAGTAGTTTTTGTAGTAGCTGTATATGTTAAATGTTTCATCAAATAATAGTTATAGCTTATATATGATTAGTCTAGGTATTTTAGGAAAGACACCTGTTTATTACAAATAGCTAACTGAACTAATTTTTTTTATACATGCAAATTAATTAACTAGCTTCTACTTTATATATATTAAGTATCGGAAGGCAGAGGTACTACTACTCCAATCCTATTTATAAGAACTCGTTTGTGGACTATAAACAAGTTCTTATAAATAGGACTGGAGGTAGTATATACGATGGTTAGTTTCATCAACCGTCATCAACGCTTAACGGAACATTAATTATTGTAAGATAGGGACTAATTGATCAAGTACATATTGATCAGTGATTAATTTGGTTTAGCCATATATAAGTTGTGCCTATCAGTGTTGATATTTTTTCGTATAATACACACGTTCGCAAGGTACATAATTAACACTTCATATTATATACACATGTTGATGTATTGTATAATTAATTAAACAGACAACTAATAATTGGATGCATATGTATAATTATGTTCTGGCCAAAAAAAAAAGAGGAAAAACCGATAGAGATGTGGATTATGACAGATTTAAGAGGGATACATTAAGTGCCGTCTAATTAGAAATTGAGCTTCCAACTATTTTAACTAAAACTGTCTGCAAATCAGAACTACTTTTATATTATTTTCAAGTCTTGATAGAAGAGCTAGATAACTAATTTTTGGATATTAAAAAAAATTAATTAAGTTGATTATTTTTAATAAATGGATATTGTATTCCCAAAATCCCCTTATTAATCATATGCAATTGATTAATATATAGATTATATAGAGGTAAAATGAACATATATTGAAGACAAAGTAGATTGAGCTCTTACATTTAAAATCAAATTAAAATTTTAACTAACTTTTATATTAAGTATCGGAAATAATATAACTTAATGTACATTACATAAGCTCAAGTGCATCATAGCATGTTAAACCTTTTAATAATCCAATACTGCAGAATAAATATCCGTTTTTGTCATATCACCAGTCATACCAGTCAATCGCACATAAACGATCCTCTCAATCTCAAATATGCTTTTATTTATTATCCTACCTATATAAAATTTGTCGAAGCCCCTAGTGCGTGCGTGATTAAAAGTCTAAAAGTGAATCTATTCGGAAAAAAAGGTCTAAAAGTGAAGCAAAAAATATGGAGAATTAAAGATCATGCATATATTAATGCAACAAAATGGTTGCTTAAGAAAATGCCATGCTGAATAGTTATGATCTTTCAGCCAAATTAAATAATTAATGAATCTGCCTATATAATATTGATCCATCAGTTCAAGTGGCCGGGTCGTCTAAAGCCAGACTTACCTTCACTGCCAACTTTTCTCCCATTTGCTTTTGTACATATATTCAAGTTTTATATATATGTGTGTGTGCAAGATGTAATTATTTTAATACTGATTTTATAAAATACTAGAGTTATTTGTAGATTCAATTTGATTTTAAATATGAAACTTCAATCCTCTTTATTTCTTATATTTATTTATTTATTTTTCAAATTAGTTCCTCTAATAATTTTACATATTAAAAGATTTTTATTTTGATATGCATGATTGATGATAATATTTTAAGAAACATACTTTACCTAACTAATTATATTTGATTCGATTCATCATGTGCGTGGTTGGTTCTGTTCTGTGGGGGAAAACGATACCCAACTTCAACTTGAAGCCTGAAATGCTTCCCTTTTATGTGATAAAATCTTAATACTCCTCCGGTCCTAATTATAAGACCCAATTGACTTATTTGAGGAAATTAAGAAAGTAAGTTAAGTTGGTTATTTATAATAAATAAGTGTTGTTATTCCTAAAATATCCTTGCTAATTAAGTAAATTGGCTAAAACTATCATTATTAGAAGGATTATCTTGGAAAAAAATGCATAAATATAAGAGAGAAAATGGATTGGGTCTTATAATTAGGACCAAATAAAAAGTCAAATTGGGTCTTATAATAAGGACCGGAGGAGTATATCATTTGGACTTTAATTAATCTTCATATCACTAAATAAGTTCGATTCATTGCATAGTTCATAAAGAAAGAATATTAGTAATAAATTTAGGTACAAGTGTTCGGCTTTGTTGGAACCTCCAAATCATATTTCTGTGGGCGTGTGGCAGAAGGACGAGATACGCAATCATCTGGCGATGAATACTACTCTAAATTCTTAATATAAGATTTAGTTTATAATTTAATTAAAAATAAGAGGTAGTGTATTATATAACTTTTTTTTTTCCGAACCTTTTTAATTTACAGCAGCCTTTAGAAAATTGTTTTATTCTTTTTAGAGGAGATTTTACATGTTTTTTGTAAGTACTGAATACTTATTTTTTTCCTAAATATCTTTAATCATGTAAAGAAAAATAAGATTACATCGATTGAATAAATTTCATTGAGAAAGAGTAATTTTCGAAAATGATTAAAAATATGAACATATTTAGTGAGAATAATTAAGAACTTGTTTGATTCTGCTATTTATTTTTATAATTGTAGAATAAATCTGTAGAGTAA